AGGGGAAGTATGTAACGTTCCGGACTATTTCTTCTTCCCGTTAGTGAAACTGCCATTGCACTTGTGAATGAGGTATTTTTTTCAATCTCTTCTCCCATTCTTTTTCTTTTTTTTTTAAATTTTTTTTTCGGGTGGTAAGTAATAAATAGGCAAAGTTGATGAAGGAAATATGACATTGTCGATGGTGTTTATATATAAGCTGTAAGAATTTTATGAAATTTCCTTAATTTGGAAAATGAGTGTTTGGCTATTTTTGTCCAGTTACAGTGTACGTAGAGAATGGCTCTATTACGTTGCCATGCTAATGCGTGCGGAGAAAAATAAAAATAGAAAAATAAAAAAATAGAAAAAAAAAGTGTTTGGAAATCAGGTCACCCTTCACTAGTCGATGGGCCAAATCGAAAAATTTGACACGTAGTTCTGTATCCAATTTTTGTGGTTCCAACATTCATTTTAAGGTTTGATTTTTTTTTTATTTTATTTTTTTTCAAAAACAAATATGAAGATATTAACTATTATAAGATATTAGGTTGTTCTGCAAATCATATTATACTCGTAGAGAATATTCATATTATACTCTTAAATGTTAATAAAAAAAATTACTGAACAAGAATTCATCATAGTTTCTAATTTCAATTCTTTTATTACTAATAGTGAAATATGAAAAATATTATGATGTAGTGTAATTTCTTATTATTTTTTAAAGGGATATTAATATATTTCCTTTTCACATTAATCATTATGGTTGATTTATTTTTACAAACTTCGAGTCATGTTATAAATTGGGGAAATATGGTAACTCTATTTATTACACGCCCTATAGTTGAAGCATTAAAGGAGTTAAGGGTCTGTTTGGCTAACCTTATTTTAAATAGTTGATAAACTCGTAAATTTGATAAGTTGTTTTAAGAGTTGATAAGTTGTTAGATCTTACTTTATAATTAAATTTTTAATGTGTTTCGATAATGATTTTATAAGTTATTTTTATTTATTATAAGATTTTAAATAAAAATGTAAGACAGAGGTATCTTTAAAAAATATTTTATTTGCTTTTCAACAACTTATTTTTTGAGTTTTTAAGATTTAAAAAAAAAATTACCAAACACTTTGAAAGAGCTTATAAACCCTTAAACGTCTTATAAGCTCAGTAAAACACCCTCTATGTGTATCAAGCGCCATATTAAATGGTAATTTTTATCTCTGGCATGGGTAGGGGTGTGAACGAGCCGAGCTCACCTCTCTTGGCAGACTCGAGCTCGGCTCGAGTATATTTTGTCAAGTTCGAGCTCGTTGAGTTCCTTCTTTTTTTGTTCGAGCTCGTGTCAATTTTGTCGAGCTCGAGCCCAAGCTCATTGTGTTTTTTTTTTCTTAATATTTTTAATTATTATTTTATTATTATTAAAAAAGTTTAAAAAATTACAAAATAAACACTAAATTGTAATTATATATATATATATATATATATATATATATATATATATATATATATATATATATATATATATATATATATATATATATATATATATATATATATATATATATATATATATATATATATATATATATATAT